CGTGTCGCCTTGTCAACGTTCAAGCAGCTGTCACGCTTCACTTTCTACTTCCTACCAAGTTTTCTACTGACGCCAGCAGCTGATTGTCAGTCATCCCACCCCCCCTCTCTCTCTCTCCTCCGGAGCAGCTTGATATCCTCTTTATCGCTGGCTCTCCCCCTTCCCCACGGCCCTATCAGTCTCGGGACGTGACGGTGAACAGACGAACTCATCGTCACGTGACTTCACAGCTTCACGCCAAGCGGGCTGCTGATTGGCCTGCAGCCTCAGTCCAGACCGTATCGCAAATCCTGAATGCGCGATCAAAGTCCTGGAGCGGCGGGGACGAAGGGAGAAATACTGCAGTATTTTGTGGACGCACAGCCTGGTGGAGACCCCCCCCCCCCTTCTCCCCTTTCTCTCGCGTCAGCGGCACGTTTCTGATGACCGCATTTTCCTTCGCGCCTCCTCTGGCGTGGGCCCTGATGGGGCACTGCTGGGCCTGGCCGGGCCCCGCCACGCCCCGCCGCGCCTCGCCCTGGGGCCCACCCTCCTCCTTGGCCACGCCCACAAAAACCATCCAAGAAAGGCGTAGTGTCTCCTTCCCCGACCGGCCCCCTCACCCCCACTCACTCCCCGCTTTACACACCTTGCCCCCGCAGCTCTCGGGTCGGCACTGCAGCGAGCGACCTCAGCCGCGGCACCGCACCACGAGCAACCAGGACGTCGTAACGTGACGTAACGAATATAGAAACGCTTCAAATCGTAAATTAATTTTCAATGATTCAAGCGTTATTAAAGAGGTTTTCCCTACATTAGGGCGTTTTCCGTACAAAAACGCGTTTTGGAAGCTAAAAACGCTTAAGAAACGATTAAAACGTAGAAAGTTAATTTTCGGTTTTAAGCGTTTCTACATGTACGTGCGTTACGTTACGACGCCCTGCGAACAACTAGCAGCGGAGCACAACAATTTGTACCAAAGTCTATCTTCAACACGTCTTGAAATCAGTCGTCTCGACCTCCCGCTTGAACGATGTTTTGATAGGAGTACAAAACTGGGGACATTCGATCGTTAGTAATCAACTAAGGAACAGTTTTTGGGAAAATTTATACAGGAGCCTTAACCATTTTCAATTCACGTGTCTCTAGTTTTTAACTCTTTCATTGCCCATAACATTATTTGTAAGTCGCATAACACTTGCAGATATACTTATAATAGTAACGTACTTTCATCACTTGCTAATGTTGTGTACATTACGGAAAAAAGACATTGCTTTGGATCAACTCTGATATGCTAAATTCGATACTG